ATAAAAAAAAAGGTTCCCAGAGCGGAGCCTATGAACTCCACTTCATCAACCTCCTGGATACTAAAAATCATGGACTAACTATAGACATTGGATTTATGACACATTATAACCTTCCTGACATCTGACTCCCCAGCCCAGCCCAGCCTCTGGCTTCTTTACTTTTCATTCCCTCCAGGAAGAGCACACACCAACTGCTGCAGCTTCCTTAGCCTGACGAAGGGTTTTTGAACCCGAAAGCTTGCTTAATAACTATTCTCCAACCATTTGGGTTGATCTAATAAAAGACATCAGATTCACCCAAGGAACCTTGTCTGCTCATGACTGATTGGTAACTGGTAACGCAGTAGCTTAGCAGCCAGGCCTGCAGTAGTTCCCCCTAAGACAGACACAGACAGTCCCACAAGCACCCATGTCATGAGTTTTGTCTGTCAGCAGGTAGAGGTGCAGGCCCCAGAACCCCCCTGCACCGATCTCCTCGACAGCTGGCAGGCTTCATGGCTTAGCAGGGGCCACCATCCCTGCAGCTGTCACCCCACTGTGTTGTAACACATAGACGTGACACGAGTTTTGCTTTCAAGAATTTGAGTGTAGTTCCCCCCAAACCCCTGCATCGATCTTCTTGAAACTTGGCAGACTTCATGCTCTCAGCAGAGGCTACCACTCCTGCAAATGTCATCCAAATCAGACAAAAAACAACAGCATTATAGATATTTAATTGATTCACCATTATACCCTATGCCCGGATCTCCAAAGTGGCTCCGAAGCTCTTCGAAAGCAGTTTGGAAGCTCCGAACCGCTTTGGAAAGGCTAACGAGGCCAGCGCTTTGATCCAGACATGCTGCTTCAGATGCTGAAGCATCCAAAGCTTCTCTGGATCCGAAGCAGGGTCCAAAGCCTTGCACAGTCCTACTATTTATGTCCAGCCACAGCCTAGCCCTCATTTTTCTTTTCTAGATAGAATGGGAATGGAAGGAGCTGGGAGCACAACGTCAGTAGAAACACTTGGGAGTTTATTTTGAAGAGCATCTTTAGAACCAGGACACATCACTCATGATACTTAAGGAGACCGTGTCTGCATAAGGGCTTTCTTACCACAGAAGGATAGTTGATCATAGAAATCTGAAAACCAATTGTGAAGCATCCACCAATTCCCAACATGAAGATCATTTGGAATAGCTTCTGGTACTGAACCTGTGAAGAACCATTAAACACTGAAGAAGGTTGTGAAAAGATCAAGAAATGTGTAGTCATATGTCATCATCTTTACATTTCCGGAATAATAACTTTTTGCCATTGGCACATATCAGAAAACTTGTCAAAGCATGCAAGATTCCTACTCAAACAAGATCCATCAGACAGACCCCAGAAGAAGGATTTTGTTTCTTTTCTTCACTGGAATATTAGTTGATCAACATGGGGCTTCGCTTTCTAAATCACACTTTACCTCAAGCACAATTTCTATATCAATTTCAAGGGACAGATCAGGGAAGTTCTGTTACTTAATAATAAAATTACTATGTTGCAGGGGAAGCCCAGAGGTACAAATACCTCCTCATTATCACTGTCTAATTCTGTTTTTTCCCTGTCCCTTCTCCTGACCTGGAATCTCCTTCTGGCTGCAGTATGCCTTCCACCTTCTCAATAAAGAGAATTAAGTCAGAGTGTTTCCATGGTGTTTCCATCCAGAAAGTTTGTTACATATCTATTGATGCTTTACTGTTTGAAGCAGAGGAAATGTCTCTGAAAACTTTACTGCTGCTAAACTAGAAGCATCTGTAAGAGCCCCCTGTGGACATCGTTTTGAAAGTGATTAGTGCAAAGGCATAGCAATTTTCTTTGTCTTGATAGCATGGGAAACAGACCCCATTTTAAATGTAATTCTGCCCTTTTCAAAACCTTGATAATATCAGAAGCCATCATCTAATGTACATAAACCTTGTGGTACTCACCAGGTCAGAGAAAAGTCTATCCATCTGATATCAACAGGGTAGCTGTTTCCAGTCACTGATAGATCCCTGCTACATGGAGGAACTCTTGTTTTATGTTTCCTCACTCACACGTGCTACCTAGGTAATCAGAAACTGACATCATGGAACTAAAGTTAATTTTTACTTGATATCGCTTTCATTGAATTACATCCTTTGCAGCAATTGGATGAGGTTTAGAAATGCTGGTTTAAGCATTTCAACAGTTCAACAGGAAAGGAGGTCCCCTTGAGTGGGCACACTTTATAGGATGTGTGTGCTCATTGATTTTGATTTGGGAGAGATGAAAATAGTTTCTACATGAATCATGTTTCAGTTGCTGGAAGAAGAGGTGATTTTCTAATACAAGGAAGTGTTCTTATTTGGTTACTTGTTTTAGAAATAGTGAGTGCGTAATACCATTTGGAATGAGTATACTGGGGCAAAGAATTATAAAGTGCAAGTGAATGAGCCATCTTGCAGTTTAACTATGGTGTTAAGGCTGATGAAGTGTTTTACCAGTCTAATGCCTTTCAGAGACTCAGTCAGCTGCTACTCTTGTAACAGCCTTTGGGCTGAAATACTGTTGTTTCAGCCTGATCATCTTAATTCATCAGAAGAGATCTATCCTAACAAATTGCCAGTCTACAAACCCAGTCGTGTTGCGCTCAGTGGGAGCCTTTTCCAGAAGGCTCAAGTTTGTGAAAGCATTATAGCAATGGGTACTTCTTCACCTAGGATATTAGTGAAGTTCTCAGTTCTTACAGCAGAAATATAAAAATCTTATTATCTCAGGACCTGAGAGGTACATGGCCAAAGGACTTATCTCCCAACATGTCCTCATTTTGTGTAGAAAAGTTACAAATAAATATATTTTTATTTAAAAGATTCTATGTCACTTTAAAAGTCTGGTATAGCATTATTAACATGAAGTGGTTCTAACATGAACTGGAAGATGGGATGGAAAGCACCCTCAGCAAGTGCATGGATGACACCAAGCTGGGGGGAGTAGTAGATATGCTGGAGGGTAGGGCTAGGGTTCAGGGTGACTTAGACAAATTGGAGGATTGGATCAAAAGAAATCTCATGAGGTTCACCAAGGACAAATGCAAAGTCTTGCACTTGGGATGGAACAATTCCATGCACTGCTACAGGGCTGGGATCAACTGGCTAAGCAGTAGCTCTGCAGAAAACCATTTGGGGGTTACAGTGGGTAATAAGCTGGATATGAGTCAACAATATGCACTTGTTGCCAAGAAGGCTAATGGCGTACTGGGCTGCATCAGTAGGAATGTTGCCAGCAAATCAAAGGAAGTGATTACTCCCCATTCTATCAAGGGAAGTGATTATTGAGCACTGGTGAGGCCGTATCTGGAGTACTGTTTTGGGCCCCTCACTACAGAAGGGATGTGAACAAGTTGGAGAGAGTCCAACGGAGGGCAACACAAATGGTGTGGGGGCTGGGGCACATGACTTATGAGGACAGGCTGAGGGAGCTGGGCTTATTTAGTCTGCAGAAGAGAAGACTGAGGGGGGATTTGATAACAGCCTTTAACTACCTGAAGGGTGGTTCCAGAGAGGATGGACCTGGACAGTTCTCAGCGGTGGCAGATGACTGAACAAGGAGCAATGGTTTCCAGCTGCAGCAAGGGAAGTTTAGGTTGGATATTAGGAAAACTTCTCTCACTAGGAGGGTAGTGAAGCACTGGAGTGGGTTACCTACAGAGGTGATGGGATCACCATTCTTGGAGGTTTTTAAGGCCTTGCTTGACAAAGCCTGGGCTGGGATTATCTAGTTGGGGATGGTCCTGCTCTGAGCTGGGGGTTGGACTAGATGACCTCCTGAGGTCCATTCCAACCCAACTTTTCTATGATTCTATATTTAAGTTTGGTGCCTAGGAAACATTTATTTTCTTATAACAATAGCTTTGTTTAGGTGATAGAATAATGCGTGATGTGTCTTATTTCTGGGTTAGATGTCTAGATCCTTGATTGATAGGATGTACCAGAAGCTATTCCAAGTCATCTTCATGTTGAGAATTGATGGTTGCCTCACAATTGTTTTTCAGATTTCTGTGATTAATTATTCTTCTGTGGTGAGAAAACGCATGTCTTTTCTGAAGAAGGACAGGCTTAAAGAGTACCTGAAATCACTAGGAAAACTGGTAATCCAAATTGGATTGAGTGAGTTGTGGAGGTTTACATTTAATTTTGGGACAGAGTAGAATGGGATTGTGCACTTTACTGTATGGGTATGTGAAATACCAATTTAACTTATGGCAAAATATGGGGGCATAATATTTAGGCATCCTATTAGAAGTTACAAATGATGGTTCAGGGCAGGAAAACAGAAAATGTTGTGATAATTGAGCCATCTGCTTATTCACCATAAAGAATGGCATACAGTTTATATTTGTGTGTGTGAGTCAATGTGACTTGAGAAGAGTTTTCTGCAGGAGGCAGTGTTCTAAACTAGCATCTCACTACCTTGTTTTCCAGTGTGCAATTAAAATGTTCTACCATCCCAACTCCTGCTTCTCCTCCTGACCTGTTAACCTTTTATAGTTTCATAGTTTCACAGTAGCTAGGGTCAGGAGGGACCTGAACAGATCATCTAGCCTGACCCCCTGCCACAGGCAGGAATGAATGCTGCGTTCACAAGACCCCAGACAGGTGATCATCCAACCTCCTCTTGAATTTGCCCAAGGTAGGGGCGAGGACCACTTCCCTGGGAAGTTGGTTATGGTGCAGTTCAAGATTTTTTTAGTTTCCCAACACTAGGTTAAGACAAAAAGAATAAGACAGTGGGCACATCTACATGAGATGCTTAAGTGTGCAGTAGCAAAGTTTACTGCAAAGTAAGCAATGAGCTAGCTGCTAGCTGCCTCACTGGCAGATCAGGGCAGGGGGCCGGGACCTGTCCCTCCTCTGCAGCTCTTTCCAAGTCCTCTTCCTCTAATCGGGGAGCTAGGACCAGGAGCTCCCTGCTGCCGTGGCAGGGGGACATTGTCCCAGCCCCAGCAGCAGGCAGCCCACCCCTACCAGGGCCAGGTGACAGCTGTCTCTTGGCCTGGTACTACCTGCCAGCCCCTTGGCTAGCACCCAGGGGGAGCTAGAGCTTTCCCCAGTGGTGGCAGAGGCCCATAGCAGGGCTGCAGAAAGTTTGGTGCTAAGAGCAGCAAATCTGCTGCCTAGTCCCTGCATGTGTAGATGCCTGCTTGGGAGTGCTTAACCTGCAGAAGTTTACTCCTGAGTAAAATGAGCCCAGATCAAATGCATGTGTAGACGTGCCACTAAAACTCAGTTTCCTGTCCAATTCTACTTATAGGGCATGTCCAATTCTACTTATAGGGTGCATCTACATGTGATACTATGTCACCGTTGTGATGTGCTATGGTGACATAGTGTCCACAGGTATCTACATATGACCAGCAACTAATTCACCCTAGTAGCACACTCTCCTGTTGTAGTGTGCCACTACGGCAAAGTAGCCGCTAAAAATAACTGTGCAACAAGCGTACGGCGCAGTATGGGCAGTTACTGCTCCATGCTTTAGTACTTCCAAAAAGAAATACTAAATTGCGATGCAGTAACAACATCGCCATAGGGCAACATGTAGATACACCCATAGTTGCATAGAAAAGAGAGCAGTTGTTAGCAGTAGTGGGCTATTTGCAGTGCTGTATTTTAAGCACATGACCAAAACTTTGAGAGACCTTTTGATATATTTCATCCTCTTCCTCTTAAACCTAGGGAGAGTCATTTGACAGATTAACATACATAGTTTCATGGGCCACTAATTTGAAATGGCTGATAAGAGAAGGAAATGCTGTAAAACCGATGTGTCTCATGATACTTGAATGCTCACACATTCCAGTCCTGGGATAGATCTCTGTTAATCATTAACAAACATCCTTATAGTACAGAGCTGTATTAGGAGGGGAACCATCTGTAAAGATACTGCCTGCATGCATGTAAAGCAAATACAGATATAAAATGGGATTACTTAGAGTAAGAAACAACCTCATTGTGGATTATTATTCAAAGAGATTTTTATTAAATAAGGGTCAAGGTTACCATTAGCTTCTGTTGCGATCTAGAAAGCACCTTTAGCCAATAAAAATGGCCTATTCTGGCTGGTCAGAGCTTGGTGCAGGTATATTCCTTATAGGATTTCCTTCCCACAATCTGCAGAGCATTCTTCCCAAAATGCAATGTGCTGAATTCCTCTGCGATTTCCATGACTGACTTCCCCTTTGTCTCTGGGAGGAACAAGTAGGTTAAGATCCCTGAGGTGGCAAGGACCCCAGCAAAGATGAGGAAGCAGAAGGGACCAAGAGCCTCCTGAAAATGAAAATAAGAGAGAAAAATATGAGCAAATCCCCAAGTGACACTTGCCCTCTTAGGTTCTTGTATGTTGTAGCTTTGCACCCCAGGAATGGGAAAAATGGTGATTCTCAGATTATATGTTTATTTGATTTTTTAAATCTCTAAAACTGTAGAGAACAGTTGTATACCTGGGGGGAGGGGGAGGGCAAGTGGGGAATTAGCCCCAGGTGTTGACTGTGAAGGGGGCACCAGAATGGCTCTCAAAGGAGTCTTTCCCATGACAGGGGCAGCCCTACAATTCCCAGCCATAGGAGTGGGGCAGGTGCAGCCCAGCGCCCAGCAGTGCATCAAGGTGGGGGGGAAGTGAGTGGAATGGCGCTCTCCTGTCTCCTAGAGTCCTTGCCACAGCAGGCACAGCCCTGTGCCCACTAGCATATTTGGTAGGAGAAAGTGAATGGGGCACAAGGAGCAACTCCCAGGGAGTCTGTGGCATGGGGCTGCTGCTACTTAAACTGGCACTGCTACAGCAGCAGCAGCAGCAGCAGTAGAAGCTGCCTTCACTGTGCAAAGAGCCAAGGCAGGGAAGAATTCCCTTCCTCTTACCCCTACTCCCCTGCCCCAGGCGTCAAAGGAGCTTGCCATGCCTCTGTCAGAGGATGTCTGTAAAAGCCAGGTCTTTTGCCCAGCTGACCTCCATAGAGCAGAGTGTTAGAGGTTATTTCAGCACACTGATCACCTACAAGGCATTATGATTTACTAGCAGTTGCCTTGCT